TGACTTGTTCCTCCAGGCCATGTCCCCTGGGCTGCGCTTGGCCCCAGCCCCGCTGTCACCCACACGGTTGTATTTAGGGGCACCCCAGCGAGGGACCCCGGGGCGAGGCAGCGATGCAGGCCAGCGGTGCAGGCAGGGAGCAGGAATCGGCGGGGCCAGGGGCAGAGTGTGAAGCTGCGGAGGGGAAGAAGGAGAGGAAGGTCCTGTGCAAAGCTGTGCCTGGATGCAGCGGGGCAGCCTGCGAGGTGTCCTGGGCAGGGTGCTCACCCCTTCCCCAGCACCACGGCAGGGAGCATGCACAGGGTTGGCCTGATGCCCTCGGTCCCCAAAGCGGGGGCTGGGGGGGAGCCCAGTCCATATCGCAAAAAAAAAATCCCACAGCCACTTACTTGACGGAGACGGAGAACTCCCCCGGGGTGCTCTCGCTGTCCCGGATCAGGAAGGCTCCCAGGTGTTTGCGCTTGAGGAGCCGCTCCTCTGCCAGGTGCCGGGAGATCCTGCCCGCGTACCACCTGCGAGGGACACCGAGCTCAGCACCGGGCACCCCTCAACGCCCGGGGACACCCCAGTGCCGCATCCCCACCCCGCAGGATGGAGGCACTGAGAGCCCCCGTAACGGTGGGAGCAGGGTCCCTGTTGGGCTCCCATGGGGCTGGGACCCCCCCGCAGCGGTTTCTCCCTTCCCTCTCTTCCTTCCCAATTTATGGCAGCGCTTTCACGGTGGGGGGGAGACAAGCGCAGGGTGCTGAGGGTGCAGACGTGTCCCCACAGGCTGCCTTGTCCATGCAGGGTTAGCGCAGCATTGCCACCAGCTATGACCGCATCCTGTCACCCGCCTTGCCACATCACACGTCTCATCCCCCCCTTCACTGCCTGTCCCCCCACTCCCCTGCCGTGTCCCATGGCCCCCCGTGGGAACAGCCCTGGTAGGTGCTACAGGGAGGGGTTTGTAGAGCAGAAAATGCTCCGTGCCAGGATGAAACCCTTCCTGCCTGCGTTGCCGGCAGCTGCTGAAACAAGGTGGAGGAGCTGAGTCCCCATCTCCCATCCCTGCCAAGGCTGTGTCCGTGTATTTGGGAGCCCCAGGCCACCAAGATCTGTTAAAATTGCCCCCTGAATGATCCGCCGTGGTCTTTAGCACCGAGCATCTCCAGGTGCTGCACGGAGGAGGCTGAGTCTTGCCCGTCCCGGCTTGTTAACCGAAGCCGGAGAGGCAACGGGATCTGCCGCGGGCTGCCCCAAGCCCACGCGTTCCTGCTCCCCAGCCGCAGCCCCGAGCAGGTTATGCTATGGCATTTAAATGTGATTTACCAGGGGATAATGATACATAAAACACAGGTTAAAACAGGGGTGGATTATGCTGGGCTTTAATAACACAGTAATAGGATTGTGTCTAATGCAGTCATAATCTCATAACGCTCTGTTGTTTCCCAATTATCACTTATTTAGTGGGCAGCCCAGTGTGAGGGCTGAATTTCTGTGTGTCGGGGGTACGTGGGCCTGCTGCTGCCTCCCATCGCCTCCGGCAGTGGTGGCCTTGGCAGACTGACCCAATCGCTGCCCCATCGCTCTGTGACTCAGTTTCCCCGTGTGTGGGACTACCCTGGCTCGTGGCAGACCTTCGGACATCGGGATGCACCGTTGGGATCACTGCCTGGGTGGTGGGAGAGGATGTCCTGGTGCTGGTGGGTGCTACCAGACAGGGGCTTCGAGCCCCCCTTCCCCACCCAGTGGGATGGTACTTACGGGTGCGGCTTGACCTTGATGTAGTTTTTGGGGACGAAGCCCTCGCAGCCGTACAGCTCAGCCTTGTACCAGTTCTGGTCATCCTCCATGTTGAGGATCTAAGGTGGGAGAGGAGCAGGGAGGTGTCAGCCCGGCCACTGTCCCCCTGGGAGAGGGGCTGAGTGGGACCCCCAC